CGATCATGCGGCGGCGTGACCCGCGTTTAAAATAATTTTGAATTATCCGTCCCCCCCCCCCCCTCCCCCGCGTGTACACGCATGAGAAAATGTGCGGAGGGGGAAAGAGAGAGAGAGAGAGAGAGAGAGAGGGAGAGAGAAACAGAGACTCGGCGCAAAATCGATGATACGAATTTAAATTAGAATTATGAGCGGTTTCGTTCTGATGTTGGCGTGTAACCATCTGGAGAGGGGGGAGGGGGAGGGGGGTGCGGTGTAACTCGAATATCTTGTACGTTTGAACAACTACATGTAAATGAAAAAAATTCTCAGTGGGATAACATGTGTTTTTTTTATATTACGTAAAAAGATTTCCTTCGCTAATCCGCGTATAAAAATAAATTAAGGTGAGGCCGCAATCAAACGATTCGTCAGATATTTCCTGTATTTTTCGAAGAAGTGATCAGAAGACAGAAATAAAGTGAACACACTCGAGTATTTGAGTGCCCAAACATGTACGGGTGGTTGGAGAAATATCCGGGTATTTACCCGGAAGATTCGGGTTCTCAGGTAATATTTGAGATACCCGACATTGAGTAACAACACGTCGTTGCTATTAAAGACGTACAAAGAGAGCAATTAAATCGCCACAAACGGAGATATAAATTTAGTACAACTCGTAAAAATTTAGTGCAACTATTGAGATTCAGCGATCTCGGCGATTGATTGCTCTCTTAAGAGTTCATTAAATACGACTTCAAGAACTCGGGGAAAGTATGACGCGAATCGGAGGAGCTTGTGCTTGGACGTGCGATTTTACGCGTGTCGTTAGGAATCGACACGCGCGAATTAACGGTGCTCTGTTTCCCTCGTGCGCACGTAAGAGAAAGAGAGATCGGTCTCTCTCTTTCTCACTCTCTCCATTGTGTTTTTCTGTGTCGTGCGCTAAACAAAGCGCACGTCAACGACGACGAAGCGTGTCGTGAAAAGAAGTCGAGCTCGCGCGCGTCCCGAGCGCAAAGGTTGCCCAACGGAGTCCCGATGTCTCTCTCTTTCTCTCTCTCTTTCTCTCTCGCTCCCGTAACCGTGGTATACTAATAAATTGGATCAGACCGACTCTCGATGAGTTGTACGAGTTGTCTGGATCCGGGCTTTACTTCGGCCCGACTCTAATCTAAGATCTTGAGTGGATTTCAGTTTGGGGCACCGGCAAATTTATTTAGCCGCCGCGGTCGTCGCCCGATTCGTTCTTCTCCACTCTCCCTCTCTCTCTCTGTTTCTCTTTCTCTTCGCCGACAATAACGACGCTCGTTGCTTACCGATACGCTGAGAAATGAGAAGATAACCCTCGCAGCGCGCGATAAGGAATGAACAGGAACTCTTCCTTCACTCGAAAGGGATTTACACAGTACTTCCGCCTCGGACAAAATTTATCTCGTGTGATTCAAAATCGAAAGGTCTCGTTGCGAGAAATAAGCTCAAAATCGCAAAGTGAGATCGCTCACATTATTCGGTCACTCGGAGAGAGAGACGGGACTCGAAGTGTTCACGGCTCCGCTCATGCGCCGAGAAGAAAAAATACGGGGGTGACCCGTATTTCGGCATCGCAAGGACAATTGGCGCAAGAGAGGAGCAGGCGAAATCCGCGCGCGATAATCATCATACACCGGGGACCGAAGTTTGAGCCGCGCTCTCGCGAGTCGGCGGCAACGTCGTTAGGCACGCTGATAAAATATCAGCGGACAGGCCGGCCGTTTATTTTCGCGTGCGGCTTAGAGCGCAAATCCCCGCGAATCCTCGTTAATATTAATTTTGCAAACGATACGGCGGATCTCGTAGCGGCCGTGGAAGCAAGAGAGAGAGAGAGAGAGAGAGAGAGAGAGAGACAGGCAGAAAGAGAGAAGCGCGCGCTCGTTCGACGGTATAATTGCGTCCGCGACAGTTATGAAAATTCAGTGTGTCCTGGACGAAGTCTCGATGCGTCCCTGTGGATGCAACTATACACGGATGCATCGGTTGCAGTTGATGGCGCAACACCAGTGCAACGTCCGTCGTTGTCTCTCTCTCTCTCTCTCCCTTCCTCTTCTCTCTTTCTCTCTCGTTTCCCCTGTCTCGCTTTCTCTTCGTCACCGTTATCATTCTCTCTCGGGAGGACGAAAGGGTGCGAGAGAAAGAGAAAGAGACAGGCAGAGAAAGAGAGAGAGTTTGAGGGAGGAAGAGATATTGCACGAACAAGAGAGAAAGAGAGAGAGGGAGGACCGCCGGGTGGTGGAGAGAGAGTGGCATGAATTTTTATGAGCTTAGGAAATTAATTTGTGTTTTTCGCTAAGCTTCGGCTTAGCGCCGCGGTAATTAATTGCGCTGATTGCTCTGCATCATTGATGAGCGGTTCCGGGCTTTCGCAACGTCTGCTCCCACCTCGTGCGCGCGCGCGCGTGTACGTTGTCTCATCGTTGTATGCGCGCGTACTCGACCGGTATGCCTTGATATCGGCGTTTCACTTTTCGATGCTTCGTACATGTGTGTGTGTGTGTATGTGAGTATATGTGTGTGTGTGTGTGAGCACGCCAGCGAGCGAGCGATCGAAGCCGACTACGGTTTTCTGAATATTTTTAATTAACGCGATCCGCCGTTCGCGTAATTGCAGTCGCGGGAAAGAGAGTACTTGTGTGTGTGTGAATGTGCGCGTTTTAAGACCGTAATAGAGCGCGATAGGGGCAAAATTGAATCGTTTATCGAAACGATCGTACGCGAAGGAATTTTTATTCAAGTCCTTATCGCGATGAAATCGTCGTGCGCGAGTCTTTATTTTTCTGTTTCTTTTGGTTCTTTTGGAAGCGCAGGCGCAGACAGATTTAAGTCGCGCACGAGAACAAGTTGATACCGAGCGGCCGGCGAAGAAAGCCGCTATTTAACGGCGTTGATCACTTTATCCCGCGATAGCGCTTACTTGCGCGTATAAATTTGAAAATTCCGCGAGATTGTCAGTAACTCGGAAGTTTTCCGAAGTTATCGAGTTTCTCAAACTCGACTCCCTCAAACCCCAGTCAAGCACAGTCAAATATGCGGAATACCCGAGCCAAGTTCCGCCGTGCGGTACTTCGCGAATTCGAATTTGTCAGGAATTAAAAGGCGAAACTTCGCCCTACTTCGCCGCCGGCGATCGATCCGTCCCAAGTCGAAGTAATTTTTCCGATCGACGATACCCCCCGTGCTTTTCTCTATCGACACCGTTGATTGCCGGTCACGGTCATCGATTATATCCGTCATTATTATACTATCTCATTAAGTTGTGCATAAGTATAATTATACTACAATAATTTGCATCGGGGAAATCAATTATTTAGCAATAAAGGGCCGATAAAACGAAATATGAAAAAAAATTTATATATATTTCCCAAGTGATTTTTATCTAGAATTTTTTAGAAATTATTTATTAACGAAACTTTCGTACAATCGGCGCTCGAGAAATTAATATATACAAAATGAAAAGTTTTAATTGAATTGAATTTCAATTTTATTTGAACGCAATAAAAGCGAAGAATTGTTCCAAAATATTCTCGGCAGTATTTGGCGACACTCGTCGATTCTCCTTATTCTTATCGCTGTGATCAGTCGTTGGAGAGACTTTCCCCGCTTGAGTTAGAAGAATCGAGGATCACGGCCAACGTTTTTCGATACACACCCGATAGAAACGGGGGACGGTTACTATTCATCCGTCTTCGACTTCCGTTGCAGACACCAGCTACTCCGCCTATCACCCGGCGCTGCACGGAGTCGGCGAGGATTCCTTCGTGAGGAGGAAACAACGGAGGAACAGGACGACTTTCACTCTGCAGCAGTTGGAGGAGCTCGAGTCCGCTTTCGCGCAGACTCACTATCCGGACGTCTTCACGCGCGAGGATCTGGCGATGAAGATTAATCTCACGGAGGCCAGAGTTCAGGTGAGCGCGACAGCGATACGCGAGCGATCGTGTTACCGGCGTTCATCACCCGAATTCGTTTGTCCGTTTAATTACATCGGTTTGATCAGGATCGACTCTCCCGAGTCTTCTCGATTCTGGCGGACGACTCTCCTCCCTTCTTCCAGTCGCACGTATTGAAAACTCCGGCGAACGGTAAAAGGGAGCTCGAGGATATTCCATACGCGAAAATCACGTATTAATCTTAATTGTCATTAATAACGACACCATTCCTTTTTCATTCGCTCTTACTTTGCTTTCAACGTTGCCTCCGCGCGAAGTAGCTTATTATAATCCGACACAATGGGTTTGTAATCGCGTTAAATTATAAAAAGATTTATTATAGAGCGAGCAGGGCGGACGCGAATAAATTTCCAGAAAAAGAGAGAGAGAAAGAGAGAGAGGAGCGCGCTGCATTATATTTAAGGATATATTAAAGCGGGTTACTTAAAAGTATGCTAATCACGTTGTGTATAATCACGTTTATTCGATAACGTGAAAGCACGTGCATTAAAACTTGAGAGAACGTTCGCATGCCCGCGCCCGCCGTGCATTGGCAGCGCCGGCCTTAATCTTTTAATGCGTCTCAGCGCATTGAGATTGGATTCCGCGTTTTAATACGATGAGAAAATTACGCGCGGCAGCCCGGTAATATCCTTTTTTCCTTTCTCTCCTTCCTTTTTTCGCTCGCCTCCGTCAAGCGTTAAGTATTACAGCAAATTCCGAGCGCATTTTTCAGCGCGCGAGCGCGCGCGCGCGCACGCGCCCCTGTGTGTTTTCCGATGTTTTCACAGGGAAATATTAGGCGCGCCTTCATAATTAATTTTCATTAATATCAAAATAATTATTTCGCGGAAATACGCGCAAACCGGATTCCGCGATCCGAAGCAGAATTTCAACGGAATTATACCGAGATGTCGTTTCTGCTTTTAGCTTTTGCCGCCGTGTCGCCCCTTCCTCGCCTCCTCCTCGTAGTCTAATCATTCGTGAAGTTTATAATTTAGAGAACACGAAAAATATATTATATTTTGTATATATGTAATATATATATATATATATATAAAAATGAGCGCGTTCGCCGATATATTTTATATATATATATATATATATATATATATATGTATGTATATACCTCGAATTTTACATTAAATTTAACATATCCCATTTCATGTTCCAAACACTCAGATTTTTGTGTTAATTTTTGTGTTAATTTAACTCAAGGCGAATATAAAGAGAAAAGTGCTACATTCAAATGAACATTTGCTAAAGAGTGTAATTATTTTTTATTTGGATTGAGCAAATATCACTTTAACGTGTAACAGCACATTCTTTTCTTTTATTTACGCTACACTCGAGTAATACTTAGTCCAAGTGAAACAATCACTCCATCAGCCCTCGGCAGAAATGCTACTTGAATCTAGCACCTTTTCTTTCAGCGTGTGATTTTAGTGGGGCTTCTCCCGGTGCGGCACGAGATCTTTGAGTTTTTCGCGCAGTGATTGAGTAATAAAAAAGAAAAGTGTGAGGAGAAAAGAGGAGAGAAAAAATCTGCAAAGAGTCGCGGGGATCGCGACGATGATCGATTGTCTGGCCGCGCGGTGGCGTAATGTTGCGCCGTAAGAGCAAGAGTGCGTGTACAGAGGGGTGTACATCGGAAAGGGCGGCGGGATAGAGGGAAAGGGGGTAGAAGGCCCCCGGACCCCAAGGGGCGCGCTGACACCCTCGACCTGACGTAATCTTCTGACAGAGTAAGCCGGTAATCTCCGGGATTACTTTGTACTCTTGGCTACCGTCCTCACGGCCGTATTTACCTCGCGCCGCTGTAATTCGCGCTGAGAATCCCTGCAGTAACAGCGATTCCCGCCTAAAATCCCGTCGGAACATCTGCAGGATATCTGGTTACCAATGGCGGCTTTTTGATTTCTCGCCGCCGCCGTCGACTTTTCGTCAGGCGTTTCCGCCGGATTTTCCGAACGGATCGCCGATTATCGGCGAACGCGCTCATTTTTTTTTCTCTACCACGCGTTTTCTTCCACAGGACGTACAGAGAGCGTTCGATGACGAAACGCATTATTCTCTCGTTCGATTTAATCGACCGGAATTATAACGTCATATGCTGATTATTTTCTTCAACGTTGACTGAAAAGTTTGACTGACGATTGAATTACCGGGATTACGGCAACTAAATGAGATTCGCGACGCGTATATCTGTATAATCGGCTTTTCGAGCGCAATTAATCATAAACAAAATCAGTCCGAAGCTCTGATAATAGAAACGAAAGGGAAGAAGGGCCAACAAGAGCCTTTTATTAACAGCTAATTATATTTTATATCAGGAACGACACACGGGGCAGCACTGTCGCAACGTCAAGTGCACGTTACTTAATGAGCCTGATAATTTAATGAGACACGATAGTAGTATCACAGCCCCGGTCGTTGACGGCCGTCACGGCATTCAGCTTGTTGAGCGTTCCATCGAAACGCGACGTCGAGAACCTCTCCGTGTCTGACTCGTTTAATTGAAAGAGCCACATCGGGAACTCAATCCGACGTCGCACCTGCCTGTCGCACACCTCGGCAAACACCCGGAACACTCGCACCCAAAACCCCTCACGCTTCCCCACCCCTCTCCCTCCCCCTCTCCTCTTGTCGTTAATATCCCGACTCTCGCGAAGGATCCTCGATCACAGAGAGTCCGGGAGGCAGCCTGGCGTGCATTGTGCGGATTACGAGAGGAACCGAGGAGGAGGCTGGGCGCACAACGTCTCTCTCTCTCTCTCTCTCTCTGCGAGACAGCAGTATGTACATACAACAATGAAAGAGACAGAAGGGAGGAAAGCGAAGAGGCGAATGACGACGACGACGACGGGAGGAAGAGTTGGTTGGAGGCAGGGGCGGAAGGGAAGGGAGAGGGGGGGGCCGGTTGGTCTGGCTGTGACGCAATTACGGCGCAGACTCATTGTTTCATTAGCGAAGACAAAGGGAATCTGGAATAATGGACAAATAGGCGCGTTTATGTAGCGCCCGTCCTCTTCTCCTGCTCCAATTAGAACCTCCTAGAGGGGAACTGGCAGGCCGAGGGGGGCAAGAGGGGGGAGGCTTGAAGGAGGGTTCGCTGTATCGTCGAGGCACGTACATACCGCTCGGCGTTTCTCGTTGTCGTCGCACACCAGGCTAGAGCGAGCTGCGAGCGAAACCGCGTACGTGTATCTTCTTCCGACACATGTTCACTCACACACACACACATCAGCGCACATCGCACGATACACAAGGACGCGCTGGTGCGTACGTATACCGGGACAGGTGGCAATTACCGGCGTGCGTGAATTAGACGCGCCGCCGCGTCGCGCCGCGTCAAACGCCGCTCGCATCTGCGCTCGCTCGCTCGCACTTTTCCTATTTTTCGCGGCCGAAAATTTGCCGGATTATCCCCGACGCGGTTATCTACGCTCCTTTGACGTTGCGAGGTGTAAAAGGGAGATACGGGTAACGTGGATCAGTCGTTTCAAACGGAAAGCGGCGGCGGCGGCGGCATCGCTTTCACCCCTCTGGAGAACGCGGCGCGTGAGCGAGCGAGCGCGTGGGAAAATAGGAATTTTATCAGCCTGGTTGGCGAGAGTAATCGAGACAGAGAGAGAGAGAGAGAGAGAGAGATTCGCTGCGATCTGGCTTTTAACATTCTGCGCAATCTTCGCATGCCTGCGGCCGTATTCTGGACGCGTGTCGCGAACGACAAATGAGATTTAATGTTATATCGTATTTGAAAAACGCGCCTGAGTACCGATGGACTTTAACTCGAGATCTCTGGATCGTGAATCAATCACGGTTAATTAGGTACCACACCACTTCGCCGATTATAAACATATTTCGTATCGTTTATATTTAATATGAAAGCAAAGAGAGAGCACAGTTAACTTAGCCAATCTCAGCTATTCATGCTGATAATTTCATCTAATGAAGTTATATCTCGTAGCAAATGCATTTTACCTCTAATCGCCAACTTTTAGCAACCTTTCAAACTAGCTAATGAGATTCAGCCGCTATTACCGAGTCATTTCTCCGAGGTAGAATCTCGGAAAATGTCTGCGTGGGACGTTACGCCGGTACAAGAAAAACGGAACTTGGAATTAAACGGGCATACTTAGCGGCCGCAACAGGATCCCTCCGCGTTATCGTTAGTTATCGTTTAGTCTGCGCGAAAAGCACGTCGCGGCGATAGCGCGGTCGGGTAATCCCGCGACAAAACAGCAACACGTCTGCCGTTTGTTGAGGGCCAATGGGGAGGGGGAGGGGGCGACCGATTAAAACCGTTTCACCGAGGTCGAGTCACGCCATTATCAGCGCGAATTTCGGATTAAATTCGTATTGAAAAAAGAAAAAAAAACACAGCGGAGAGTGGAAGATATATCGCGAGGGTGGAGAGGAGAGCGCCGCTCTCTAGCGGCGGTCCCTACGGAACCGTGGCTTTGTTCCCAGCTATTACTCGCCCCCTCCTTCCGCAACCCTTAGGATATTATTATATTTCCCTGTCTGCCGCCGTTCCCCTCTTCTCACCCCTCGCGAGATGTTCGACTTCGTGGCCGCGGGAGTCGTACTCATCGTATTTATTTTATTAAACCGTTCTCCCCGAGCTGTATTCTCCCCCTCCCAACGCCGGAAGTTCCGCGCACGAACGTAAGATAATCATTTTCCAGGCTCGTTTTAATGGGTGTATCGGATATCTGTCTCGGTTTTTCGGCGTTAACCGTCTTACTGACGAATTTCCGCACGAAGAAGAAGAATCCCGCAGCCGAAAACTAGCTTCCGCATGCAAAAATTAGCCGTCCGTATAATACAACTGAAATTCGATGAGTCGATGAAAACCATCTGACGATGGTTGTTAATTTCATCGCCGCCTCTCAAGCCTTTTAAACCTTCAGTAACCTCTCATCGTCTAAAAATGTATCACATAACCGCGAACACAACCGTGAGTTCTAGGGATTTATTAACCCCGGGGTTGAATAAATTCCATTCTAATCGAATCTCTCTTTCTCTCTCTCTCTCTCTCTCTCTCTCGTATATAACCTTTTTCATCGTGTTTCCGAGACATATCATTTTTTATGGAAATGCCCGTTGCAATTTCAGTTTTCGAACGAACCCACACGGGGCCGGGCGAGTCGCGGTAACTTTTCTTTGTGACCTAATGGGATTTTGATACCGGCGACGTTTCAGCGCATAGCGCGCGCTCGCGCTCGCGCTCGACGCGCACCAGCCAAGGCGCCGGTGTGAGATTCGCCCGCGCGCGAACCCGGTTATTATACAGCCGTCGTCGCACACAAAAGTATCGCGGAGAGCCGCGTGGGTGTAATAAAGTCTATTTCAGCTGGTATTATGTCAAGTTAGCCTCGTTAGCGGAACTCGAGCTTTTTAAAAAACACTCGGCCGCCGTGGTTGCTGTCGGCTCGTTGAACATGCACGGTGGAAAGTGCGCCCGTCTCCCATTCCCCCTTCGCCCCCCCCCCTTCCCCAGGCCCCGCAGGTTCGTCNGGCCCCGCAGGTTCGTCCGTCTCCCGCGACCCTCTCGTGCTTTCCTCTGCCTCAGAATACCACCCCCGGCAGCATGCAATTATCCTTGCGCATTTGCGGACGGGAGTCGGATGCGTACGCGGATGCGACCGTCGGGTGACCGCGTGGTCTCATTTTTTTCCACCCTCCCTCCCCACAAACCCTCGACCGCTCGGTTCTCTGTGACTCTCGGAGGAGACTTAACCCTCTCGAGCGTCGCACTCGTCCCGGACGACCACGACGACGTCTGGGGGACTATTGAATCAGAGAATTACGCGCGAACCGCCGGCGACGTGAGTTTTTTCAGTAGCTCGGCCCCCCCCCTCACCTCCCGCATCGTGCATCATGTGTATGCGACAGGATCGCTTTCTTGCTCTCTTTCTCTCTCATCTTCAATATCTGTTTTAATGGGGGAGTGATCATGGACCAGTGAGGAAATTCGGTTCAGTTTAGAACGATAGATAGATATTTCTTTTGACTGTAAACCCGCCATATTTCACGATGGAGATACGAATGCTGGTGGTGGAGGAGAATTATACAAAACGACAGCGATTAATTACGGTTGATGAATAAGTTGTTTCCACTGAACGCAACAGAGACAAATTTTTCCTCGAAAATTGAACGGAACTTTTCCGATTCCAGATAGAGAAGAAATATAATGAAAATCGAAGCAGACGGTAATCTCCAAATTTCTTCGAGTGAAATGTCATTCAAAACGAGTGAAAATTCATGTTAAACGACGGTGAAAATTTTCACACTCGAAATCACAAGAGTGAATATTCAATTCAAACCTGTGGAGGATTCTAAATCCACACGAATAAGTGTTTCACATCGATTAGAGTGAATTTATTTTAATGATGGTAAATTAGATTCACTTTTCAATTTGGAATGGAAATGTTCACTCGACTCAAAGTGCGAGGAATTCATATGATTGAAAAGTTTCTCGATTACAAGTGACTCGGTTATCACTTTATACAGAAAAGAAATAGTCTCAAATCAATGATGAATGTTTTCGAAAGCAAGAATATTATAATATTCTTAGAAGATTTTCAGTCTTAAATTAGGTGCACAAATAAGCTTGCGTAGATTCAAATCCGGATTAAGAATCTTCTAAGAAAATTATAATATTCTTGCTTATACATGAGAAACATTAATTTTTACCTCGAGGATCATTTTCTCGCACACCTTTTCGAGCGAAGTTTCACTCGAAGATATTCAAAATCAGAAATGAAAATCATCCCGAAAAACCGAAGGTGCGTTATCGCATTAATGCTGCTAAGTGTGGGCGCGTGACCCAACACCGATCAGAAGCAAGCAACGACCCGTAGCCTCACCGTGGCCGGCGCAATTTTACAGGTGTGGTTCCAAAACCGGCGCGCGAAATGGCGTAAGAGCGAGCGGCTGAAGGAGGAGCAACGCAAACGCGAAGGCGGCGGCAGCGGCGGTGGCAGCGGCGGCGGTAGTTCCGGCGGTGGCGGTGGTAACGTGGAATCCTCAACATTAACCGCGCCGACGTCCTCGTCGGCGGGCCCGAGTCCCACGGGAAACGACCCAGAAGGCACGACCAGCAGCAGCGCCGCCGACACGGAGGACGCCGTGCCGGAGGGTGGCGGCGGCTCCAGGAGTCCCAGCACGACTTCCGCCTCGGTCAGTCCTCGACCCCAGCCGAGTCAGCCGTCCCTGGGTGGCGTCTCGACGCCACCACCGACCCCCATAAGGGCGCCACCGCCGCCAGCGAGCACCGTGGGGGGCCTCGGACCGCCCGCCGAGAGGTGAGCTCTTAGCTTCGTTTGTATTTACGTCTTTAGGAAACATCTTCCTTCTCTCTCTCTCTCTCTCTCGCGCGCTCTTTCTCTCGCTCCCGACACCCCTCCCGCCGCCCTCGGTGTACCGTTGGCCCCACATCTTCCCCTTATAAACTCCCGGACGATTTCAGCAAGCGGGTGCAAGCGCCGCTGAACACGCCGGGCCGGATGTTCGATACGCGCCATTAAACCACCACTCCTCGTGACGACGCTGCTCCCGACGTTCACCGGTTAAGCCAGCTTCTTCCCTCCCGCTTCGCCTCCGCTCCGTGACCTCTTCCGCGCGTCGCGTCGCGTCGTCATCGCCACTCGTATAATCGCGATAATCGTCGCCTCGTTAAACTGCAGCTTCCACGAGAGGCGGCGGATGAAGAGCGGTGGAGGAGAGCGCGCGTGCGAGTGCAATCCTCTTCTTTCTCGCTGCGGACGAACGGCGACATCGAGGTCGCAAGGTTGCATTTCGCCGAACCGACGTCGTCGATGTTTACGGCTCGCGCGCTGAGGGCGAGTTGACGCGAGTTTCGCGAGGGGGTGAGAAGAAGTTGACGATTGGCGAGGATGTTCGATGGTGCCCCGAGGCGAGGAAAATTCGCGATATCTCGGAGGATAGTTACGGATGCGTGTCAAAAATATTTTTACGACATGAAGTATTCCGCAAGGGGGATGGAAAAACAGAGAGAGAGAGAGAGAGAGATAAAGAGGGGAAGGAAAGAGAGAGGGAGAATCGCGGGTACAGAACGATTTGAATCACGGGCTGAATATCGAAATTGTTTTATGGCCAGCGGGATCATACGGGGATATTGTATTTATTTGTACTTTCATGATACCGCTATTGTGGACGTTCAGCAACGGTATCGATGGCATATCGAAATTTGCGCGATACCGCACGGAAAGGAAGATTTAGCTGTCACGGCTAAAACTAGCTCCGACGGGTAAAAATTTGCCGTCCGTATGATACAATTGTAATGTTCAGTTAATTTAACTAATTTTTAGGGTGATTTTTAATTCTCTTTACCCTTCTAGTTTTTAACTTTCGCACCTGTGATAACTCTAATCTAGGTCTGGGTAACACTAGATTTCAACTGTTTTATACGGACAGCTGATTCCTTTTTTCCGTGCGGTACTTACGAAAATTCCAGTCCTCCTCGGTCGCGGTGTAGCACCGTAAAATACCGATGTGAAAGGGGTACTTTCGGACTACGTTCCGATATTCACTTTCAGTACTGAAAAATCTATAGTTTACGTTACGTATACCAGAGATTTTCAGTAATGGCAGTTAATACCGGAACGCAGCGTTGGTATGCCGGTTCCACCCCTAATTTCAACGTTTCTCCGTCGACACACTTTGGAACGCAGCCAACGGAGAGAGCAGCGATAGGAGACTTTAAAGATTTTCTTCTTAAATAACTGAGAAGATAGATTTTCTTATTGAATATCGCATATGCATATGCGTCGGAAACCAGCGTTTGAATCGTTGTCTGCAAATGAGTGTATATTCGCCGCTCGCATACGCACACACATACACACACACACACACACACACACGTTCATAGAAAGGGTCTCAGGCGCGTTCGAGGAATATCGGGAGAGGGCGATTTATCCCGCTCGCGATCTTGCCTTTCCGCGCGTTCGTTTATAATCCCCGAGACGAGACGGCCGGGGTCTCCGCGGATCGACGCGGAGGCAGCGGGAACAATGCCGAAAAACGTAGCAGACGCCGCGTAATACACCGTGAGGTTGGTAGACACACCGCCCAACCGTCGGCGGGACGACGAGCGCGAGGGGCGGCGGCAGGCAGGCAGAGGGATGAGAACGACCGGGGGAGGGGGGCAGACCGGCGGGGTCGAGGGAAAAGGTAAAGAAGAAACGGCAGGAAGATACTCCTTCGCCGTCCCCGCAGTTGTAATTTATTTAAAACCGCTCGCCGTAAATATATCCCCATCATTTATTCAGAGGCACGGTAGCTCCTCCGGAGGCCGCGGCGCTGCGCGGAGGAGCACGAGGGGCCACGGGGGAAGGGGGGGAGGGAGCGGCTGTATAAGCTCCGTGTTCCTTCTTACCTTAGCGCTACTACCTCTCCTCGGCTGCCTTAAGAGAGAGAGAGAGAGAGAGAGAGGCTTCTTGCTCTCCTCGTGGCGTACAGGGGCGGATCTGCGGATCCGAACTGAGCGCAGCGTGTCGCGCGAACGCGTGAGACGCGCGTTTCTTTTGTCCCGCGCGATTCTGCCGTGCGCGAAATGAAGGAAGAATTACATCGAGAGGCGCGCTACTACGGGCTGGTCGATAACGAAGAGCCAAGGGTGCCAAGGGGAATGTACACTGGAGGCTTTGCGAATGAAGCTTTATACCATTTTAGAGCTTCCCGGAAGAAATGATGAAGTCCAAGGGGGTGCAACGTTGCGTAGAGCTCCAAGGCTCTGATCTGTGTACGGTGTCATGTACACGACGGGAAAAAAGAATTCCATCGTTAAAATCTAGCTCAGACAGGTAAAAATTAGCTGCCCATATAATACAATTGATATCGAGTTAATTTAATCGACCCTTTTTGTCCTTAGGTTTTAGCTTCCATAGCTGAAAAGTGAGGTCTGGTAACGAAGTTTCGGTTGTATCGTATGAAGAGCTGTAATTCCTTTTCTCCGGGTATATTGTGTTATATTTTCTAGACGGGGTTACGCGAATTTCAACTTTATACATAATACATCGGGTTAAAGATCGCAGTGTTGAACAATTTTAATTTACTAAATGACATTTACGATAGAACGTTTGCTGCTGCGGCACAAGAGTGTGCTACTTAAGCGAAATTTAATTAAATTGAATTTAATCAAAGCTGCTTAAGCTGCTAGAGTTTTAAGTGTTCACATGTTACAACTAATTTATACTACTGCGGCTAATCTTTTTCCCTCGTGTACGAGCTATTAAAGAATATACTTAAATTTGGAGAAAAATATTACTTGATTTCAGAGATTGGGAAACAAGTAATCACGTTCACCTGTGATTCTAGCGTTTCTTTCCAATCTATGGAATGGTACACGATATATATGACGCCGACTGTACACATCGCGTCATGTGTGCTTTACCATCCGAGTTACTTACGCGATTTTCAATCTTATACGTACATGTGTGCGTCTAAAAATCGCGTACCTCCCGATACAGGGGATCGGTGAGGCACACGCAATGTGTACAGGTGAAAATCTCGGAAAAATATCGAATAACCAATCGTCCGTCCCGAATGGGCGACGCGGTATCAATCTTACCGCGTCGTCTCGTGATCCGGCTTCAGCCTTCGTCACCCTTTGTAGCCCTCGTAACCCGACACCCGGGCTCAAGTGCCGGGCGATAAAGGCGTCGATAAAAGGCGGCCGAGTGATACGCGTGCATCGATAAGTCGCGTCGGGTCACCCACGCGATCCTCGTCCACCACGTGAAAGGCGTCGTAGTCGTCGCTGCACGCGCCTCGGTGTGCGTTTATACGCGACTAAACATGATGTGTATATCTGTACGTGTGTATGTTCATGTTCGCGCGCGCGTGTGTGTGCGCGAAAGGCAAACGAGCGCACGTAAGCAAGGTGCACGGTAGACTACGCGGCTAATTGCCGCTAATTATCGCGCTTACCGCGGTTCGGCTCTTCCTCTCGCCGCCGCCGCCGCCGCTACCACCGCCACTGTACCTTCCACGGCGTCGTCGCCGCCGCCTCCGACGCCCCCGTTCGTCGTGGTTTTCCACTCACCCCCCTGCCCCTCCGTTTCCCTCCTCCGGCAACCACCTGAAATCCGCTACTCTGGCCTGCCGACGAACTGCAGCGTCTTTCCCACCCCCGCCGCCTCCCCCACTAACGACCTAAATGCCGTGGGCTGTCTGCCCTAACTCTTGCCCACCCCGGTGCGCGTCCTATCCTCCTTCTCCCTCTCCTTCTTCGCCATCCCTCCTCCCTCCCTCCCTCCCTCTCTCTCTCTCTCTCTCTTCTATCCTCGATCTCGACTCCGACTCGAGCACCGACTCGAGCTCGTTACATTAATTAAACAATATTTGCGATTAATATTTGAGATAATCATCAGCGCCTCAAAGCAGCCTCCGCTCCTCTCGGAGGATGCGGAACATCGCGCGTGCTAATCGGATTAGCGCTTGCGAGGCTGCGGCTCCTTCTCTCTCTGTCTCTCTATCCTTCCTGCTCTCCCTCTCACGGTCTCACTCCTTCTCTCGCACCCCGTTCGTCCGTCTCTCGCTTTCTCCCCGTTGATACGCCGGTAGTTGGAATCGCGCGAAATTGCGACGTCCTTTTGGCGATAATCGCGCCCGTGCCTGAAATAGCATTAATTCGCGGACGAGTTAAGATCGTTTCCGGCGTGTCGATTGAAACGTCGTGCACCATGCGAACCGGGTATGAATACGAACCGTGCCGTTGACGTTGATATGAGAATTGAGTGAGAAAATGACGGGTTGAAAACAGCGAATTATATACTTTCGTCGCGTATTTAGCTCCGTATTGTTTAGAAACGTTACTTGAAACTCACGTTATTGAGATTTTAAGTTAGAATTAGTCCCACGATTAAATCACACGACAAGTGTGACGTTATATTTGCAGTCACAATTCAAGGAAAAGATTCGCAGATCGAATTCCAAATTAAAATCCTATTATCTCACTTGAGACGAGTCTCGAGCAACGACTGTTACGAATCTTGGAATATGACACGTTAACCTTTGAATGACAAGTGTCCTTCATTTCAAATTGACCTTTTCAATAAAATGGTCGCTTTAGAAAGTAATAATATTTATTTATGCGGAAATAACAATCGTGAAAGAAGTTATTTTAAAACACAACTAAAAGCACACACTCAATTTTTCTTTTTCTCAATTTAAGGACAAAAAATAAGTTGGGAACAAATTGCGAGGAGATTAACATTGTTTTAGAAATGATGTCCCCGTTTAAACATTAAGATACGACATATAGATAATCTATCGTTTTCAAAGCAAGTGTTACATACATAATTGCAATATTCTGGACAAATCCAATTTGTACATGTTTGGCATTCTGATGGTTTTATTGCGCGCTCTTCCGCAAAAGAAAAAAACAACGACCCTGCGCATCTGAACGTGGGTTATTTTAAATTTCCCGCAATGGACGAAAGCGGTCCTTGACTGAAAAATACACGGAGGTGCAAAATGGATGCTTGTCGGTATATTTCGGGAAATATATTTGAACGCGCATGGATGACACCTGTCGTCCGCTCAACTATTGCAAGATTAAACACGGTATATTTTAACACGACACACTGCAGAAGATAACACTCTTCTTTTAATCAAAAGAATCTAAATTCTAAGACGAGCGTTTTGTAATCAAAACCTCACTTTATCACACCATTACGCCAAGAGACTCTCGACTATCCAAACGCGAGAATTTCGCGTCGGAGAAACGAGAAACTGTCTTCTCACAATATTCCCAATCCCGTTTCGAGCCCCTTTTTCTCATTATTACGCCTCTCTTATTACTTATTTTCTATTATTTACATATTCGCGCTCTCTACTTAAAAATATGATACTTAATATTAATACTAATACTTATACTTAATACTTTGAAATCTACCCACTGGAAGGCGAGCGTGAGAGTCCCACACGATACTCATCCCTGCCCCCGTCGTCTGACTTGTTCCAGCACCACGGGAATAGGCGCGGGCTTCAGGCCGGTGGAGCCGCCGACGTCGCTCTTCTTCTCGCCGCACCTGGCCGCGCAGTTCTCGCCGCCGCTGTTCGCCAACAAGGTGGTCAGCAGCGCGGCGTCGACGTCGTTGACCTCGACGACACCGTCGCTGTGGACCAGCAGCGAGCACCGGCCGGGTAGCCTGCAAGAGATGCTCTCTTGGTCGCCGACCGGCTGGCCCGGCTCCATCTGCGGCTGCTGCAAGCCCGGCACCGGCACCGACCTCCACCGCAGCAACAGCCTGGCCGAGCTGCGCAGGAAGGCGCAGGAACACTCCACGGCCTCGGCGCTGCTCGGCGGCCTCGCCGGCTTCCCCGGCGGCCTACCTCTGCCCTTGCCCCTGCCGCTGCTGCCGCCGTTGCTGGGCCTCTCCAGGCGACCGGAGCACCATCATCATCATCACCTGCCCAGCGTAGTGCACCAGATACAGCCCACCACCAAGGAGGATCCCTAGGATCACCGGAGCCGTCGTCGCCTCGTAGACACGGTGTAGTCGAAAGCGATCGCTCGCGAATCGCGCGTCCGGTCTGGCCGGTGAGTCGTGGATTTCGACGCCGTGGACGCGGTGAAATCGGTTGGATTTCGTCGCTCGGCGACTCGTCGAATTCGCTTGGAAATCGTTCCGATCGCCGAGCGACCGGAGAGACCCCCGTGTCTGCAGCGTCGGAAGGTGGACTCGTCGCGCTGCTCTCAATCCCCGGTCACGAGTGACTTCCTTATTACGATTGCATCCTGATTTGTCGCATTTCCCCCGATCTTGGTGGTTACCGACGGTCTGGGCAGAAGACGAGTGTAAGTATCTCGATTCCGAAGGAACGATTCGTTTCCCCGCACCGTCGCGAGACACCCAGCTGTGCCGTCGTCCGCCTCGCTCGGTGAAGCGGTTTTGCGCGGAGTCGTCTCTTCTCGTCCTTGGATTTCCCTTCGCGAGCGTTGCTTTGTCACCGATACACGTGGAGCTGAGTTTACCTACCAAGCGACTAAAACCGGAAAACGAGAGAGAAAGAGGGAGAGAGAGAGACACACCGCGCACTGATACTCGTATACAATAAGTCAAGCGTCGAATAAGGCAGCACCCAGTCGATCAATCTCGCAGATCACTTTGTTACAACCGCGGACAGTGTAAATAGGCGGCGTGCATCACGATAATCTTCGGTAGTACCTACTCACCAACACATAAACCCTTCCTCTCGCATATATTTAATCCACGATAACGTTCGAATCTCCATTCTATGCGGAGTGCTCGTTTATTTATTGCCTTATTGCCTCGCGAACCGAACTCATTTCACATCACACTCCACTACTACTATTACTTCCACTATCACGTTTCCACGATGGAGTCGTTAAGTTCCAGACGTAATATAACGAAGTTGACAAGTCCGTTATTTATAGCAAAGAGAAAGTTCTGCAAAAGTGAAAGATAGGAAGAGAGAGAGAGAGAGAGAGAGAGAGGAAAAGTTCCACGGGAAAGGGCTGACGGATTGCGATTTCCGACATCTCGAATTTCATTACGAACGTATATCGTAAGCGAAATGTTAATTCGTCGCGATACGTTGTGTACATAATGCAAAAAAAAAAGTAATAATAGTGAGCGCGGCGAGAACGATGGGAATGACGCGGAAATGACGACGCGTCGGTGAGGCCCGGCGAGTAGAGAAAAGGGACACGTAGCGAAAAAGGGTTCGCGGGAGTACTTTCGTTCCCTTCCACGCGAGTAAGAAGACGCGACGGACCAACACGTGCCTGATGCGCTGTATATTCAACTGCTCGATCGGCCGATTCGCTCGCGTGCCGCCACGCGAACGAGCTCGAGTATGCATCCGCATCCGTTGTAACATTCACCACGAACGGGTGTACCGATACCGATATAATCTCGGGAAGTCGAGATTTTAAGCGACGTGACGGCCCCCCTCTCGTCACCGTTTGTGCTTCGTTTTAGGAATTACACGGTCGATTGGAAATTTTCCCAACTGAAATTCCCATTGGAAAGTTCCTTGCCGATGCAGCCGGTGACTTAAAAAAAAAACAAGCGCGTGAACGAAGCTGTTGTGTTTTCATTTTCACCTTGGCAAAGTTTCGACCGGCGATACGAAGTGGAAAAAGTGTGGTATGTGGTCAGACACGGAGCTGAGCGACGAAGTAACGCAATCTCCCGAGCATCGGAAACACGTGTCTCGACAGAACGGACCGATTCTGCGACGACACCCCTCGCGTTTATTCTTTGCCGTCTACGAATCGCCGAGATTATCGATCTCGCCGAGATTATATCGATTATTAATCCCCCTCTGCAAGTAACGCGAAGAAACTCGTCTCGAGTCGGCTACTACTCTTATATGCCTTAAAATAAAAATAAAAAAACACACACACACACACAAATTCGCCGGTCAACCCGGCGACATTAACCGATTTCAGATCTTCGCCACGTGTACGATTAACCGTAATCATCAAATAGAATCCAGTATCGTGACTGCTGGGATCGAGAGAGGGGAGTTGGATAAAGTGAGGAAGCGAAAGAGGGAGCGATCGCGCGATCGCGCAACGAAGGGAAACGGCGGAACGGATTCGGTTTGATGCTTACCGGCAAATTCGACGAGAATAATTCCATTTACGTCGTAATTTCTCTGGATTTCGCGGGAGAAGCGTAGAAGCGAAGCGGACGTAGTTGTTTGTAGAAACCTGTATATTACCTTCCTGATAAACAGTCAGTGGTAATCGAAGATAGTCTAACGAACAAAAAAAAGGTATATTGTAAGGTAGCGATTACTGTGTAGTCAGAACTGTGGTAGCGATATATCGAATAAACTTGTTCTCTCATGACGAGTGTCTCTGCTGGTGTTCGCGAGTCATTCCCCCTCCCCCCGAGCCGCAGCGTTACGATCTACGTAACACCTGGATTAAGGCGAATTTCCTTGCGCGTTTCATTGCGCGCGAGCAAAGTGAGAGAACGCGGGGGAGCCGAGCGAGCGTTTCTCCGCGCTCGGTCCTTCCCGAGAGAGGTCTGCTCTCTCCCCCGACTCACCCCCGGTTAGTTACGCGGCACGTTCTCGCGCGGGATTGCGCGTATCGCGGATTACGTTTTCGCGCGATTCGATCCCGGCGCAATGCCATTCCGGGGGCGGCGTCGTATCGCGCGTCTCGTCGCGGAAACATCCGCTCTCGCCATACAGACAAATAATTGTCCCATAACCGAGGAGAGCCGGGAGACAACGCCGCCGCGGCGAGCGAGGGCAAAAACACAGAGGTGGGAGAAATAATGCAACGGCGGAGCGCGCGCGGCCGAAAGGAGAAAAGAGACGTCCTCGCGGAGGAGGTGGAAGCGGATCGCGGCACAACGAGGAGAGAGGGAGGGCGCGGGGGAGCCAGGGTGATGGCGGGAGAGGTGGGTGGGTGGCGGAAGGAGGAGGGTGTTGGCAATCAATGCTCCTCATAAGAAAAGCTCGCCCTCTCTTATGGGATCAACCCTCCTCGAGGGTACGCGGTGAGCCTTCGCGCGGGGTAAAAAGGAAGGAGAGAAAGTGCGGAGGGGCGCGAGGGAGCATCGGAAGAGAACGAGCAGGAGGCGAGAGAGAGAGAGAGAGAGAGTAGGCGAGGGTGGCGGCGGTGCGCGAGAGGGAGAGACGGAGAAGCGAGCGAGGGGTTGTTCCTGGCTCGACCAACCAGCGGCAAGACGCCATTGATCGGCACGTGGCTCCCGGTTGGTGCAACGAATTTCGCCGGGGGTGGAGGGAGGTATCTCCTCCGCTTCCGCTCGGAGACGGTGCGCGCGGAGGTGGTGTGCGGCGATGGCGATGGTGGTGGCGGTGGAGACGTCGGAGGTGGTGGTTGCAGAGAGAGGAAAAGCAGCCGTCGCGTCGTTCTAGTAGTGGAAGGCGAAAGGGGACGGAGGGCGGACGCGAGCGCGCGTTCTGCACACTCCGTTACACTTACTGGTAAACCGTATTAATCAACGACATCATGGTTTATCCCCCATTCCTCTCCACCTCCGCGCATCCACCTTCCTTTAACCTTCTCTCTCTCTCTTATTCTGTCTCCGTCTTTCTCACCCCTGCGTCTTCCTCCTCCACCACCGCTCGCCGTAGTCGTCGTCGTTCGCTCGCTTTCGCTTCTTCCTCGCTTCCTCCCTCCACCTCCTCTCCGCCTTCTTCACCACCACCTCCGAGGACTCCATCGCGATCTATAGCCAACGCGCACCGACATAGCCTTACAGCACCCTTGCCCGCTGCGAGTCGGCGGGGGTGGAAAGCGGGGGATGGGGAGAGATAGATAGAGAGCGAGCAAGCGAGCGAGCGAGCGAGAGAGAGAGAGAGAGAGAGTCGAGGGAGGGTTGAATCAAGGCGCCGGGCCACTTTGGGAGAGGCGATCGACGCTTAACGATGTCTCTCGATACCCATTACGTGGCTAGCCAGGATTCAACGAGCCGGTACCGTCGCTCTCGCGTCATTGTGTGCAGAGAGATAGCGGAGTGGCGCGGCTCGCGCGCGCCGCAGAAAAATCCGATTGATCCTCCCGTACCTATCCCGATACGTTCCTCGTAACTCGCCGGAACGGGTGGGCGGATTTTGCGGATATCTTTCTCTCCTCGTCTCTCTCCCCCTCTCTCTCTCTCTCTCTCTCTACCTTTCGCTCTTTCTCTTCCCACTCCCGTCCGGTTAGCGGTCCTTTACAATTCAGACAACGCGCCCGGAGTATCCCTTTTACGGCGGACGCGATTTTCACGGCGATGCGGGTAAAATAGCTGCGATAGCTGTTGGCACGAGAAACGGGCGGCGCGTAGATTCGACGGCGAAATGGCATTCCGCGGTACGACGAACGCGAATGGAATCGGATCGGTTTTACTTGGGAAAAGTAAACCAGTCAGCGTCAGCGGGAGAGAAATAAAAAGAAAGCTCGCCCGCTTAACGTTCCTCTCTCCCTCTGTTTTACTTAAGTACTTGGAGCAGGATACGGCAATACGTGAGAGAAGAAAGAGAGAGAGAGAGGGAGAGAGAAAGAGAGAGAGAAAGAAAGAAAGAGAGAAAACACGTTTACCCCCAGACGCCGAGCATCGCGGCGAATTCGTTCGAAAAATACACGATCGTATACCGCAAAGAAGGGCGGAAGAGGGAGGTGGGAGGTGATGGAAAGAACTATTTCCTTTTTACGACCTATCTCACTATTCTCTCTCTCTCTCTCTCTTTCTCTCTCTTCCCGCAATCGGTAGACGGCTGCGGGATGGAGCGCGTTTCGTCGCTCGTGCCGCGAATCAATCTCAATCCGACCGCGCGCTACCACGTCGTTTTAATCGGACCGGAGTAACTGATTTTCGGATATCACGAGATTCCCGCCCGACGAGAAGACGGGAGGCCGCGCTGCTCCGCCTGACGCCGGGTAGACAGTGATTAATACCGCGACGTCGTCTGGCGTCTCCCGAGCCGCCAATGCATGCGTGGGGTCGTGCACGAGAAGGCATGCTCCGGTGCTCCTCCTCTGTCTCTCTCTTTCTCATCCCCCACCTTCTCTCACTCTTTCTCTATCTATCTATCTCTCTCTCTCTCTCTCTCTTTCGCTGCGACCCCGCGCCGCCAGTCCCTCGCGCGCCTCCGCTCGCGAAGCGCACTCCGCGGTAAAAGGTTTTACGAAATTCATTGTCAGGCAATTTGCATGTCAAAGCCGCTGAGAAACGCGCTCCAGAACCCGGCAGCTACGCTTTCGGTCTGTCTTTCTACTTGGGCTTCGCTGGCGGCAGCCGTCGCGGCCGCCGCCGCGTCGCCACTTTCGGTGTGATGGAATTAGGGGAAAAATAAGGCCATTTTGCCACGCCGCGAGAGACTGCACCGTGAGAGACTGCGGGCGATTGTTGTTGTTTATAGGGCGGCGCGATCTTCGGCCATTTGGGCTATTTATCCGCGTTAACACCGTTGTAACGCTGGCTCGCCGACGACCGGTGGCTGCAATATCGCCGCGTCTCGTTAATTGGTGTGTATAACTACACGGCAGTAGATTATGTGTAAATAACGGTCGGCTGAAATATGCGTGTTACTTTAATACGGGAATATGCTGAAAAGTACAGGAATGTACGTTAAATTAACATATTCACCTTGTTGATGTGTTACTTACTAACCCATAAAGGGTTAACATATTCACCTTGTTAACCCGGGAATAGTCATCTTATTTTTTTTTTCTTTCACGCGAACGCTTGACGTGCATATTACGTTTCTTAAATTTTTCTTGGCTTCTCCTCACTTTCTTATAAAAAGTAGCAGGTAAATCTACATTTGTAATGTCCCTAAATAATAATAAATCTTAGGGCAATCGATGGTATGCTATGCTTTGTTAATAACAGCGACCTTTAATTGGAGTCTAAATGACCCCAGGTGACTATTCTCGGATTTAAGTAACATACAAATTTCAGTGGACCGTTATTTTCAGAAAAATTTTTACTGCGTATGTAACAAATTACAAATGTGTAGCTAATAGGAAGCTGATGAGATAAGTTAGCGAATATATCGCGAATTGCTCTTGTTCACCGTATCTCGCGCGATTCAGTTACGTGTCAACGATATTCTCCCCAACGGAGTCTTCGGGTCTTCGATTTTCCACTTTTTGCGAGAAGTGATTTCACGTTGAGCCGCGACCGCAAATAGACGCTTCGCGTCATCCTCGAATTGCGCGAATTTCGATACGTTTCGGGAGGGTGGAGGAGGGATTAATGAGATAAGAGTCTCCACTGGATTTGTCTAATGCCCGCTGAACCGGTTTAACCGCATACTCTCGTCTATTATTCTTTAACGAGGCGAAGAGTATTAAAACTAATGCTCCAATTTTCATCTTAAAAGCTCCCCGGCACTTTTCTCAACTTTAACGCGGACTCTCTTATTCCACCTCTCGAGAAAACGTTGTAACGCAATTAAAGCTACGAAATGGAGAAAAAAAAGAGCGCCAAGGATCTCGCGCTTTATATCGCTATTCCCTCGAAGAGATATCAAATATACACTCGGCTCTTAGGGCTGCATTAATACTCCTCACTGGAAGCTTGTTTCGAGTAAGGATATTCAGGTCTGAATTTCAAGTTAAATGCGAAAGTCTTTTCAGAATTGCCTCGCGATGTACAAATGTCGACGTCACACATATCATTACGATTCGTATGAAAAACTCTGATCCGACTCTAAATTCAGATCTGAGTGTCTCGTGTAAGACAATTTTCAAGTAACGACTAATTATTATTATATCATGTCGAATAATAGGAATATTATAAATTGAGAGCTTCCGTACTTTCTTTTTTAACTTTTTGTCACGCATGACAATCTACCGTGATAATCCACGTGTGAATAAATTGAGGATTGAAGAAAGGTAGCAACAATACGCGCAATCACGAAATTCGAACGGCCCAAACTGTATCGACGTTCACGCAATTTGCGACGCTAATAGCGTATACGCCGTTATACCCGTGGGGAAAGAGGGAGGTTTGCCGAAGTTACAGCCGGACAAAGGACGCGGTAGGAAGGAGCCGGCGGGAGAAGGAGGAGGAACGGAGGATCCTGGTTCCTCCCTCGATATAACGCCTTATAAAGAATAAAGCCACGGGCGAGGGCGAGCGGAGAATTTATTGAGGTTGTCTGGCGAAACTAAGGGGATCAGAAGCCGCAATGATTTTCAATTTTCGAATCCACTTCGCGGCCGTTCCTTCGTTCTCCTTCGACTCTACGGGAGATCAGATCGACGTATCTGGTTCACGTGTAACGTATACAGGATCGACGTAATCCCGCCCGCGGGAAAAACTCGCTCTCGCTCCCGTTCCTGTTTTACCCCACGTCGCGGATTCCCTGCGCCTGCTTGTT